CGCTGGATCTCTGGCGACGGCGGCGGCGGCGACGACGAGGCCGACGACGATGGCGGCTGTCGTGGCTGCGGCGGCGGCGGCTGCGGCGGTGGCAATCCTCCAGGCCTCCTTGTCGACCCTCCTCGCCCTCCCTCCCCCCCTCCCCTCTCCGCAAGTCGACGGGCGAAAAGTCATCAAGCCCTTGGGGACTCGCTCCCCCTCGATCATCTCCCTCGATCATCGTTCTTCTCGTCCTCCTCATCCTCCCACCCTCCTGGCGCCAAGAAAGCAGCTACAGCTACGGTGGCCGCAGCTGGTTGTTCTGCTTGGCCTGTGGCTGGCTTCGGCCACATTCCCATCTACCGTCAAAAATAGCAGTCTAACCAGAAGCTCGGAAGTAACACTTCTGCAGCATATCACGGGCGCCTTGTCTGTCTTCGCAAGTCCATCTCTAGAGTGCACCAGCGTATTCTAGCGTCTGGTAAGCGATAAGATGGCGTCCATTTAGCGTCGATTGGCATCGATCCGAAAGAGACAGCAAGATGGCATGGGAGGCGCCCATGAGGTGCCACAGAACATGACGCTCCATATCCCACCAGCCTTTTAGGGCGCGAGGGGTTTGGAGCGTTTCCTCTTCCAGCCCCCTTCTTCCCCTTCGGAAAGAGGGGTATCTCTTTTTCTCTATTCGTAAACATTCTCCCCCAGGCGACCGGCAGCCAACCGGGACCAATGAGCTCCCCGACCTACCATCCCTTGTAACAAACAATACAAAGTGCTTTTTGCCTCCAAATCTTGCGCATGCGCGGGCGTCCCGCGACAACTTTGCGTGGGTTTTTGGCAGAGACGGCCGTGGTGACGGCACATTGCTCGCTGCGCGCAGGCCAGTTATCTATCTCAAACAATAGTTCAAATATATTTGTTGGCTTCAAATTTGGAGCATGCGCAGGGCCTTCTTTTCTCTGAGCTCCCATTTGTTTCGCGACTCCTCACGATGTCACAATTTGTCCATCTGTGCCGGTGCTTTGCGCTCCCTGGAAGAGTAGCCCTTCTCACATAATGCTCGGCACTTCGTTTCAGAGGGATTCAAAATCCTGAACTCCTTGGGGCTTGGGCCCCAGGCACCTGGGGTCCCTAGTAATTCCCCATAGATGGCGCACCTGGCGCAGCAGGAGCACGTGGCACAGCTGGCGCACGTGGAGCATGTGCCGCGCCTGACACGCTTGGGCCTCTAGGGTGCCTGGTGCACCTTAGACCCGTGGCGCACATGACAAGTGTGGCGTTCCTAAGCTATCTGCTGACACTCGGGTGTTGCTCATGTGTTTGGAGGGCGGGTGGGAGTGATCTAGACGGCCTGCTCTCTAGGAGGGTAGCTTGACCCCTCTTCCTAGCCCCCTCCCCCTGGATCTGGACGGGGCGCCGCGGCCCGCGGGTCGTTGGAGCGTCGAGGGTAGGCCCAAGATGACCTCCAAGATTGCCCAAGATAGTGCAAGATCGCTCAAGGTGGCTTCCAAGCTGCTCCAAGAGACCCCAAGACCAGTCCCAGACAGGTCCAAGTGGCCTCGGTGCCTCCAAGGAGGCCCTCCGAGAAGTCAAATTCCTTCAAACACCTGGGGACAATCTATGATGTTGGCACTCTCGCCCTTTGGCTTCCGATGGCCACCAGAGGCCTCAAGGTGGCTCCAAGAGGGCCCAAGATGTCCCCACGAGGGGCCCAAGCAAGATTGCCCCAAGGCGGCCTCAAGAGAGGCAAAGAGCGCCTCGGGAGGGCCCTAGGAGCGGACTCTGGGGGCTCCAGAGGGTGGGCGCTGATTGAGTAAACACCCTCCTCGATCAACCAACACAGTGGAACACACACGCACACACACACACACACGAACGAGTTTTTTAGCGATTCTCGCCTGTCGGGGGTATCCTCCGGATGTTTTTGGCCCATGGGGATTCCATGCTGGACCCAGTCTTTTCAAGATGGTCTCCAAGATGCCGCAATGTGGTCCAAGTTTGCCCGCGATGACTTCCAATATACCTCCAATAAGCCCCAATATGCTTCTAATTTGCCACGGAGACCTCGCAAGGAGGCCTCCAGGGGACCAACATCCGTCCAAACCCTAAGGCCATCCATGATTTTGCACTCGCCCATTCTCTTCCGGTAGGCACCCGAGGCCTCAAGATGACCCCAAGATGGCCCCAAGAGCGCCCACGAACGCCCCAAGCTTGTCCCAAGAGGGCCGAAAGAGGCGATTATCTGGCGTCCAGAGGGGGGTGCTAATTCAGGGCCGTCCCAGAACGTTCCCAAGAAGGCCCCCAAGAGAGCCCCAAGAGGACCCCAAGAGTCGCCCAAGCGGCCCCAAGAGGCTCCCAAGACGCCCCCAAGAGTCTCCCAAGAGAAAAAGAAGAACTTTCTGACCTCGTCCACAAACTATACCGCCATACTCATGGACAGTAATCCCGTGAACATCTGTGCTTACATAGGCAGTGTGAATGTTTGCCCGTACTTTTCGCCACTGCTTAGGAGAACAAATGCTTTACCCGCAGCGGAGCGTTCACTGAATGTTTGCCCCTAGTTTTCGCCACTGCTTAGGAGAACAAGTGCTTTACCCGCTGCAGAGTCTTCATTCGAGGTGTTTGATTGCATGTCACAGGGCGTTTGGCCCGCAGGCACGCTGGCGATTCCGGTTGTGGGGGGACCCGCGTTCAAAGCGCGAGGAGAAACAAAAAGGTGCCCCCAAGATGCTCCACGAGGTCCCACAGCCCTGGTCAACGCAACTCGCCTGGACATCGTTTCTCAATGGGCTGGTGGGGTTCTGCGAAGCGTTTAGAATAGTAATTGGTGGGACCTCGGGGTACGGAAGCATGGAGGGCCACCGGCCAGCAGGCGGTGATACAGCTGGTCACGCCACGCGACGAGTTCGAGCACTTCCTTCCAAAATTGCAGTGAAGCTTGACATTCGAGGAAGACGCAAAGGCATAAGCATACATTTCCGAAGGCCCGCGCGGACTCCGTGGATTTGCGCTGGACGCCCCCTGGCGCACTCTGCGTGCCAGGGAGGGTGTCCAGCGCCGATCCAAGAAAACCGCAAGGATCTCCCTCAGTTTACGTCTACGCATGTATACCGAACGTTTTTTATTCATTGTCTTGCCGATCGGCGCGGGCCCCAACCCCCCCCTCCCCCCCCCATGTAGATCTTGGCTGTTTCGGGCGCCTGTTTCGAGCAGGTAGGGCCTTTCCTGTTTCGAGCAGGTGGAGTCTTTCCCCATGGGACGCACTGCTTCACACGGCCGCACTAAGCAGAGGTGCAGAGCCAGACCCCCCTTCCCCCTCCCCTTCCTCCCAATGTCGGGGGCGGCGAAGGGGGTGATGACTCAGGGGGTGGATATCATGGCGGGGGCCATGATATTCCCCGAGGTTTCATGGCGCCTCTTCTTATTTCATTACGTCCCTGGCCCCCCAGCCTGGCCGCGCACATGCCGCCGGTCATGATTTGCACCCCCCTCTTGGACACCCCCCTCCTGGCCGCTCCCGACAATGGCGAAGCGCCGAGTAGGAGAACGCTCACAGACTTGCCCTGCTCATGCACAAGGCCGGGGGGTCGGGGCCCGACCCGCGGGCGACGGAGAGACGGAGGCGTCCTGTGCGGAAGTCTCCGTCTGGGAGGCCGCTGGGCGGGTTTCCTCTGGCGTTCGGCCCTTTCGGGGAGCTCCCGCCAGGCCACCCACCAAAAGCCAAATAGCCCCAACCCACCAAATAGCGACCCAACCCACCTCTCACCGCCCACCAAATAGCCCCAATCCAACCCGAGGGCCTCAACGAGCCCTCCCTTTCCAGTGGGGGGGGGGCGGGGATCACCAAAACAAATCACATCTGGAGCCCGTACTCCCCGCAACCCGGAATTCGGGGCTTCGCGTGGGTTTGGGGTGGTCTGGTGGGTGGTCACTTTCGGGGAGCGCCCTCGTCGCCACCGCACACTCAGATGAGGTAAAGCGACCGATGCCGCTTCTCATGCCTCGTCTTCCTCTCTCTGGGGCCTCCCAGGAGGATCTCGGCAGCAACGGCTGGAGTCGCTTCGGAACTCCCTCGTCAGAACGCACCCCAGGAGAGGTCCAGGAAGCTGTGGTGTCAGCATCCACTCAGAGGTCCCCGGGAGGGGTCTGACGATCTTTTGTGAGGGGATCTTGTTCATGGGCTGCGGTAGAGGTGGCCTCGGCGGCGGCGGCGGTCTCTGGAGATTTCCCCCATGCCGGCACGGTGTCTCCCCTTCCCCCCCGTCTCTCTTCCTCCCTCGTCCTCTTTCTCCATCTTCCTTTCTCTCTCATCCTCCTCTTACTCCCTCCTCCTGCCTCCTTTCCCTCTTCCGCACGTTCTTACCGCCTCCCTCTTGCTCCAGTCTGCCCCCACCCCCTCGCCTCCACCCGCCCCGCTCCCACCCGAGTCCTTGTTGCGCTCTCCCATTCCCTAGGATACAACCCCAGGGGCTTAACCTCAGCATCGGCGTTGGCATATCCGTGTTCGGAAACCGGCCTCATCTGGCATAATCCAGTTCCCGCCTAACCGCTGAATCACGGCTAATATGCTCTCGTCGGGCTTTGGAATTCATTTGGGTTGATCCGGCGTAGTACTCCTTTACTGCTGTTCTTCCGAGAGCCCCCCCAGGAGTTGCTTCCTTAATCAGAGGGAGGAGAGGCGACACCGACACCACGCGGGGGGCCACCTCCGGAGAGGATGTCCACGATACCTCCCCGAACCGGAGGCTGGGATGTCTACAGCGAGAGGGGGGGACCACACCACCAGGGAGACTCCCCTTGCTCCTCGCATCTCCTCGCCCTGGTGGTGTTGGTGTCGCCTGTCCTGGGGGACCACCTGCGAACCCTACCCCTGCCCCCGGCGATTTCTGAGAGGAAGGGTGGGGTTCCTCCCGAACGAAGTGAACCCCAGCCTCCCCCTCAGAAATCGTGGGGGGTAGGGGTAGGGTTCGCCTTCCTCCTCCTTCCTCTCTCGCCCTCGCATCCCTTGCCACGCGCAGAAGGAACCTCGAGCTTCTGGAAGCTGGTCACGCCAGAGCCCAGCAAGAAGAGGCCGCCCGAGTGCCCCCTGGTGCCGACTCCCTCGCCGCCCTCCCTCGGCCCCACGGAACCGCTGTGTTCGCGGCGCCGGTAGGGGATCTGAGGCTCGTGGGAGGGGGGTGGTCGGGCGGGTTGTGATGGGGGTGACCACACTGGGAGTAGAGAGAAGGGCCTCTTCAGGGCTTCTGTCTTCACCCCCCAGTTGGGCCACCCCCCACTACCGCCCGCCCGAGGGGGGGGCGCATCGACCCCCAGTCGTCAATTGATCGCCGATGGGGGCTCGATGGCCCACCCCGCCACCCCGCCCAGGGCCGTGGGGTTTCGCTGTCGAGGGTCCATCGCCGATCTATCGGCGATGCATCGCCGATTGCAGGTAAGCGGCGGAAGAAAACGGGTCCGTGTTCACCGGCACTCCCGCGTCATCTGTCTGCGTAAGGTCGCGCGTATGCGCCGTCGTTTCCAGTGTAGCATGCCGCGCAAGCGGCCCGCGTGAGTGGCCGCGCAAGGTCGCTATGTCGTCTCGCCTGAGACCAGTGCGTTTAGGTCGCCCAAATAGATGTCCTCCTCCCCCCCTCCCCCGAGCCAGCAGCAGGAGGAGGGGGAGGGGGAGGATGGGGAGGGTGAGGAGGAGGTGGATGAGGATGAGGAGGAAGGAGGAGGAGGAGGAGAAGGAGGATGAGGAAGAGGAGGAGGCCCAACCCGGTACCCCCCCTATCGCTCCCCTTTTCGCGTCTTCGTTGCCTCGGTTGTCGCTTTCGCCGCCCAGCTCCGCCCTCCGCCAAGGGCTTTCGGAGCCGCCGAAGTCCCGGCCTGCCCGAGTCAGGCGATCGCAAACATGGATTAAGGGGGCCCTCCTCCTCCTCCCCCTCCTCGTCCTCCACCTCCTTCCTCCCTCCTTCTTATGGTCGTGGTGGTAGCGGTGGGACAAAAGCCCTTCACAGGGGGTTGTCAGGCGATCGCAAACATGGATCAAGGGGGCGTGGATTAGCGACGGGTCCCGTTCCCACGGGAAGTCGCTGCTTTCCGCCGCCGAGCGAGGCGGCACCGGCCGCATTGGGGGGAGGGCACCTCCCCCGATCCCATGGATTTGGTGACCGCGCGCGCGGTCCGTGGATCGCTAGTCCACGTTTGCGCGCCCCCGAGCGATTGTCGCCCCCCCCCGGGGCACCCAAGACGCCGAAAAGCCCCTCAGGACGACCCTCTATTCGCCTGGGCGTCGTTTCTGGACGGGCTGGTGGGGATACGCGAAGCGTCTAGAATTTCTTTCGGAGCGCCCGCTATGGCCCCCGCCCCTCACGGGTCGACCCTCGGCTCGGCCGCCACCAACGCCATGCGCTCCCCGTGCCTCTGGCTGACCGAGCTCGTGGGCAGCTCCTGCATTCACAGCCCAGCCCGCCGGGCAGCGGCTCCCGGTGCGAGCCGCTGGACATCCGCTGCGCCGCGGTCGCCGCGCAGGCCAGGGACACGCACGTCGAGGACCTACCTCCTCCTCCTCCTCCTCCTCCTCCTCCTCCTCCTCCTCCTCCTCCTCCTCCTCCTCCTCCTCCTCCTCCTCCTCCTCCTCCTCCCCCCCCTCCCTCCTCCTCCTCCTCCCTCCTCCTCCCTTCTCCTCCTCCCTCCTCCCTCCTCCTCCCTCCTCCTCCTCCTCCTCCTCCTCCTCCTCCTCCTCCTCCTCCTCCTCCTCCTCCTCCTCCTCCTCCTCCTCCTCCTCCCTCCTCCTCCTCCCTCCTCCTCCCCCTCCTCCTCCTCCTTCCTCCTCCGCCTCCTCCTCCTCCTCCTCCTCCTCCTCCTCCTCCTCCCCTCCCCTCCTCCTCCTCCTCCTCCTCCCTCCTCCTCCTCCTCCTCCCTCCTCCCTCCGTCTCCCTCCTTCTCCTCCCTCCTCCTCCTCCTCCTCCTCCTCTCCTCCTCCTCCTCCTCCCTCCTCCTTCGTCCTCCTTCTCCTCCTCCTCCTCCTCGCGGGAACGGGCGCGGCGCCTCCGGGAGCTCGTGCTCGGCGACATGAGAGAGAGGCGCTGCCGCCCAGAGTGGGCGCCTGGGTGGAGACCACTTTTGTCCTGCGGTCGGCAGAGGAGCACGCCCACGAAGCAGAGCGTCGTCACGGTCTTCCTCCAACCCGCCCGGCTTTGACGCCGAACAGACCCAGGGCCAAATCGTCTTGGGAGGCCACGCGCGCGGGCGCTGCTGGCGGACCGCCCACGGGCCCCGGCCGACGCGCTGATCTGCCGAGCGCTGGACCTCTGGCCCGTCGAGGTGCTCAACGAGAGCTCCCGTTCGTGCTGGCCGCTTCCTTGCGCACTTCTTTCGGTGGCCGGTTGTTGGCCAGGCGATTCCAATTACAGGGGCCTTGCGCCTTTAGTTGCACGTCGGGCAGCGATTGCAGTAGACACGCCCAACGTGGTCCTTGCGACAGACAGATGATGCGCGGAGCTATGTGCTCTTGCTGGCCCGGTGGCGGCACGTTGTCTGACCAGCTCACTGGTTCTCGCTGATTCGATGCACGCACAAGTGCGGATCTGGACTTGCTTCGCGCGTGCTGCGTTTGCGCGTCAGACAAGGGATTGTTTTGGCGGTTCGGCACCGCGTCGTCACGAGTTCGGATGCGGGCTCTGTTTTCGCAGCTGCGCTCCAGGAGGCGTGCACGAGCGAAACGCTCAGCCGTTTGCGCCAGCGCTCGAGGACCCGCCGGCGAAGCCAGGATAATGTTTCGGCCGCGCTCGCAGGACAGCCCGCTCGGGCCTCCTCCTCCTCCACTGACGCACACCGAGGCCAATCGGAAGGGCGGGCGGGGCGTGTCGCCTGAGACCTCCTCACCAGCTGTGATTCTGAGGCTTCAAGATTGGCAGCAGCTGCGCAGATGGAGAGCGGGCCGTGTCAGCATGCGCCTCTCACATTAACGCCGCGCGCGTTCGTTTTTGACAGACGCACGAGCTTCAAAGAGTCAGGGCGGGTCGTTCTGAAAATGTTGCTGTCGCCGCAACGCCGCGCACATCCGTGCATAGAACTCTTTAGCAAGAGTGTCCCGGATTGTTGACGGTTCCTTCTTAAAATGTGGATCTCGCGTCAGCGCCGCGCATGTTTGCATTCAAATGTCGCAACAAGAGTTACACGGCATCTCATGGTCACATAACAGGGATGTTTTTTGGAGCGATTCAAGGCCGCTCGGGCGCAACAGGTATGTTGATTCGCAGTGCTCAGGTCGTAGGAACAGCTTTCTGCCACGGCTCAGGGTCGTCCAACACTCATGTTGACTCGTGGCGCTGAAGTCCCGTGAATGTTGTCGCTCTTTGAGCTTCTCATAATGCTGTTTTCCCGAAGTGCACGTCCCCCAGCGGAAATGAATGTAGGGGCTTATGAGGAGGGAGCCTGGAGGGAGAGTTTATTCCAATACCGTTGATGAGTCATGTGTTTACACTGGCCGTCCTCCTCCTCCTCCTCGTCCTCCTCCTCCTCCTCCTCCTCCTCCTCCTCCTCCTCCTCCTCCCCCTCCTCCCCGCCTCCTCTTACCCCCGCGTGCAGGTGCACCCGGATCTGTGGCCATTGCGGACTTTCGCCCCTGGTGCGTCGGCCACACGGCCAGGTCTGCAGTTGACGCAGTTGTGCTTCGCCCCCCCGCTTCACCCTCCTCCTCTCCACCCCCTTCCTCTCCTCTGGAGGCGCCGCTCTGTGCGCAAGTGCCCAGGCCAGCTGGACAGTCCGCGGTCGTGCAGGGCCATATGATTCGTTTTCCACGTAGTAGGCCGAGCGCGGTAAACGTTTCTAGCCTCAGTGGCCTGAGGGTGTATTGCTTGCAGGTTTTTGCTGGCTTCGGCTGCTGGGCGTCGGTTCGAAAAACGCTACTGGCCGTCCTGCCCGGGCGGTTCGAGCCCCAGGGCCCTGGCGGTACGCGTACGCATCCGCTGCCCCTGACCAGGCCCATCCTGGCGCCAGGAGCGGTGCATGCGCCCTGCTGGCTCGGCCATGGGCCCTGAGATCCGGCCCGGCGCGCGCTTCGAAGCCAAAACCAACGTCGTCAAACCCCGCCTTTCTGCGGCATCTGCCGAGCCAGATCGATCTGTGATGGCCCGGGGGAGCTTCTCGTCGCCACCTCGCCGGTTTCACCTCCAGCAGTGTCTCACACAGCCTCGAGCCTGGCCGGCACGCAGGGCCGACGAATGTTCGAGCTGAATCCCCAGAGAAGCCTTCGACCGAATGCGCTAACTGCTACGGCCAGCTTGTCGTTGAACGCCCGACATCTTGCGCGAATTGTATAGTGTCGTGTTCTCTTTCAGTGACCAGCGGCCAGTCCGCACCGCACTGTTGCCACCTGGGATTCGCTGCCGGGGTCCCGGCCCGAGGCACAACGTACTTGGAATGGTGGAGGCCTCGGGCTGGCTGAAACTTTGATGGAGTCCCATCCCCCCTGTCTTCTCTTTCCTCCCGCGCTCGCCTCCCCTCCCTTTCTTCCTCCGTCCTTCTCCTGCCCCCGTCCAGCAGGCGCCGCTCGGCTGGCGGCTAGTTGTCTTGCCTCATGCTCTCTCTGCTCTCTCTGGGCGCTGTGCGGGTGGCCGTTTAGAATTGCCAACGCATGCCTTCCGTGGTTTTTGTTGGCGCGTCGGACGTGGCATAGTCTCAGCACTTTCTCTGCTCTGCTGCTCTCCTGCTGCTACTCCGCCTCAACTGTCGTTGCGTCAGTGCGGGGTTGGTGTGAGGTATTTCTTGTCTCGCATCCTTGGCACTGCGTCGTGGCTCGTGCCACTTCGCTTTTAGTCCAGGCTGTCGCCATGTTCAGCTGTTGATGCGATTGGGCGGTTCGTTTCGTCTATTGCGTGCAGTCTGCGTTGTGGTTCATAGAGCTTCTTGCAGTAACGCCAACACTGCCGAGCCTCTGAGTCCGCGTTAGGTACGCGTTGGGTGGACATCGCGTGCTTTCTCTCCTTCCCCTCCTCTCTTCCTCCTCGTCCTCCTCTTGTTTCTTGCCCACTTTCGGCGCTGTGTGCAGGGGGTATCGCTGGCCGTTCGGGCCGCGGGGGAGA